ATCATAGCATCAGCTCCGTGGCTGATGGCTTTTTCCCATCGCCCACTGCAGGCGTTTAACTCAGAGTGAGAATAATCAGTTTATTGAACTAACTCCAATCAGCCGTTCAGGAATAAAAACTCAGACTCTCCCTCTCAGAGTGACTCAGTTTTAAGTCAAGTTTATGAAAAAAAAGATTGTGTTGTTGGTTGTTGTTCATACGAGGGACTGAAAATCTGGAAACTTCTAGAATTTAAAAGCTTGCATTCCAGAGATACAACATCAGAGAATTTAACAAATAGAAAGAGTTAGTCATTTAAGACTTAATTATTATTATTTTGACATTAAAAATGAAACAACCTCAAAAGCCAGTCCAGTGCGAATCAATATAATTTGAGCCTTTTTAGTGTTCTGTTCTATTGGTCTGTTCTCTCTGTTTCAAATTAAAAATTAAAATGAATTTGCAAATATTATAATAAATTTGAGTGCTTTTTCAGTTTGGTTTTCTCATTTTTCATTTGCAAATGTAAATATTGTGAATTCCATTTTGGTTTCAAAGCAAAAGCAAACAAAGAAAATTTCCCCAAAAACAACATTCTACTGTCTATATATTACAAATTATACAATGTTTTTATTCTCTGTGACACACATTGCAATATGAAAAACAAATGTACATACATTATGGATAGAACTTACAAACAGCACATTGCACTGCAGCCTTCATCATGTTCACCTCACTGTCTGTCGTTATTCGGACTTGACGTCTCTCATCGAGGCCCTGAACAGCCAACACTCCTCTCGTTTCCACTGCCATGTTCTCACTTGTTCTATCATGCCAGAAAAACACAAATCCACATTTCTCTATTGCTTGTGCTTCATAATGAAGTGGACAGTCAGACTTGTGTGGAGCTCTATTGTCCAGCAGCTGGACGATATTCCACTGTGACAGCTCTGTCTTAACTTGTGCCTTGTATTTTTCATACAGCTCTGTGATGGCAGCTAGAAAAATATGTGCATGATGGTGTTACGCATCGCTTGTCAAGTGGCCGGATCATGTTTTTGGCAACAGCGTTAATTGGTATCACGTCTGTTGCAAAGTGAAAATTCACATCAGTGATTTCTGTTTGGAACCTTTCTCATCTGGTGTAACACTGGCAAACGCTTCCAGAATGTTTTTTTTTTTTGTTTGCTTTGCTTTGGATGGCATTCAGATCTGGCCTTGCAGTTATCAAACGGACTGCCGCGGACTTAAATGGTCAAATAAATCACTCATGTTGCCTCAAGTGAGGCAACAATTGCAAGACGCTGCTGTAGGAGTCCCTGGTTTTCGGTCTACATCTTCCTTTCTGTAGCCAAAATATTTCCATACAACTGATGATGCCACCAAACCTTCCTTGTCAGCGTTTCTCTCCTGTTCCTCACTCATGTTTCTGTGCATATGTGGCGCCTGCATGTTAACAAACTGTGCCTTGTAAATAATGTTTCAGAAACTCTGTTCTTGAAGCCTGAAATCAGACAGATTTTTTCGTATCGAGCAGTAAAAAAAGTTCTAACATGGTGTGTTTGAGTAAACTGAATGCACGCTTGTCAAGGCTGATGCTAAAACAATCCATCGTGCAGCCCTGGATGAAGTGGTAGCTTCTGTTCTTCACGTCTCTCTAACACTTCAGTTTATCCTGCAAAAGCACACGCAACACAAAGCTACAAACTACCTCATCGTCTACAATAACACGGTCTATTTTATGTCTGTATGGATGTATAATGAATGGAGTGGTTGCTCTTTAGCTTGTTATCTTGTCAATATGTAACCTGGCTCATAATCAACGGAGCAAAATTACATCCACAGTGTTTCAACATGCTAACTAAAAATGCCAAAATGACCCACCTAACACTGTGAACTCAAAGAAGTTTCTGGGTGTTTTCTTTGCAAACATTTTCACTCACGACCGGCTCATTATTTAGTGCACAATAAAGTCCTGCACCTCTGTGGAAACAACCGTTGCAAGAAGTAGAGAGAACTTAGAAATGTGTTTTGTTCAGTTCAACGTTATGATTCCATAAAGCATACAAAAAGAAGCTGGATTTCTTAAATCATCTACTAGAATTTATTGCCAGATTCGTCTCCTCTCTGCTCTGTGTAAACACTGCCTGCAGTTCAGCCAAAAAGTCTCTGAATTGTTGTCATGTGATTGTTGGTTTGCAGCTGAGTGCCAAAGTTGGAGTTTTTTGTCTTTTATAGAATCTGGTGGAACTGGTTTCTCTTTGGGGAACTTCTACACGAGACATGTAGAATCAAGTGATTTTGATTAAATATTTTATTCTTCAGCGAGGATTTGTACAGAACATCACAGATGAGTAGTTCAAGGATTGCTGTAAAATTTTAAATTCAACATTTTTTTTCCTTTTTCACAGTTTGGTAAATGGCGTCAACCAAAGAGCGGTGGTTAGCACTGTTGCCTCGCAGCAAGAAGGTCGCCGGTTCACGTCCCAGTGAGGACCCCCGGGATCTTTCTGCGTGGAGTTTGCATGTTCTCCCCGTGCAGTGTGGGTTCTCTCCGGGTTCTCTGGCTTCCTCCCACAAGTCCAGAAACATGTTGAGGTTAATTGGTGATTCTAAATTGTCCGTAGGTGTGAATGTGAGTGTGCTTGGTTGTCTGTCTCTAAGTGTAGCCCTGTGATAGACTGGTTACCTGTCCAGGTTGTCCCCTGCCTTCACCCTAAGTCAGCTGGGATAGACTCCAGCCCCCCACGACCCAAGTGAGGATTAAGCGGTGTATAGATAATGGATGGATGGATGTTTTTCAAACCTGCTTTAAAATTTGGGAGTTCAGATGAATTTTTACCTTGTTAACATGTGCATATAATGTTTTTTTCATGAGCTGGAAGACATGATCATGAGCAAAACAAGCGTGAAACTAGATGAGAGCCTCTAAAACACAGACTCACAGAGCCAAAGTTTCTAACAACTCTGAAGGACCAGTCCTGTCAATTTGTAGGGTTGTATGTTTTTTCTCATCAGAGGAGAAATCGAGTAGAAGAAGAGCTGTGTTCTGTTGTCAGCTGTGAAGTTGTGAAAATAGAAATGGATGTTGCAGAGAGCAACACATGAAGACATTGCTTACATTCAACACTCTACAACTCACTCTTCTTTTTTCTTCCTCAGAATCAGTTTCCAGTTCAAACATGTGTGGCCTAATTGCTCCGCTATCACAACTTGGCTTTGTGTAGAGCACAGTGTTGAACAGTTGAAGGTGAACAGATATGTTGGAGCTGCAGGCGAGCAGCAGAGGGGTTGGTGATGGGGAAAAATTAGCATATTCACAGATCCGCATATACTACATCTAAGCCATTTTAAGGCATGAAGGGATTATTTTATTGGGGAAAAAATCATATAAATATGTCATTCTGATGAACAGAGATTAGTTTTAAGGGGTTTAATCAATGCTGGGGGAAGGACATTCATTTTATTCTAATTCACATTATTACATCCAGATTTGTAATGAAGAGAACCTCACAGTGACATGAGTCCTCTCACACGACATCTTCATCGTTTAAAAGCCTAAACATCGACTGAAAGACGTTTCTCTACACTCCGTGTCTGCGCGCACATACGTACAACAAACACCCGTTTACACCACAGGGATCTGTTCTCTGCAGGAGCAAGGATGTAAATAGGATGGAAGCAGGAGAACAGAAGGAAGAGAGGAGATGCGAGCGGTGAAGAGAGGGACGTGAGGAGAACAGACGAGTTGCTGATGGAGGGGAGGAGACGGGAAGAATCAGAGAAAATGGAGAAGAGGGGGGAATGTTACATCAACCCCCCGATGTTTCATCTAGAACTCAGAGCTGTCAATCATCCCATCGTACAGTCTTGCGACCCTTTTCCATCTGGCTTTTTTTTTTTTTGGTAACCAAGTACTAGCTCACTCCCAGCATGCTGCTTCGGACTGTAAACCACCAGGACAGACATGTAAATAGACACATTTAATTTAACTCTCTTCTGTTACTGTAAAGCACATGAAGAGCAAAAATAAAAACCTCTGATCGTCATCGCACAATCAGGACAACAGCCAAGCTCTGACAAACTTGGACTACACTAGATGCTTTGAAAAGCAACCTCAAAACATTCCAAGTTATCAGCCACAACAAAACAAAAGCTGCATAAAGATCTTCTCACTTTTCTGGTCACTGAGTTTCTCCGAAGCTGCATTTCTGCCTTTTCTCTTTCCTATGCGAGTGTCATGTAACACACTGAGAGCCATGTAACACACTGAGAGCCATGTAACACACTGCTCCGAGGCACATCACATTTCAGATCTGAACATTTACTCCACACATATGCTGCACAGTCAATTTACACAATTTGGACCAATGTCTCTCACATTCAGCATCTCTCTCTTCAAGTCTTGAGCTTTCATGCCGAGACACGAGAAGAGGAGGAAAAAAGAAGGAGGAGTTTATTCAAGCTTTTTAATCTCCGAAAACCTAAATCTGTTCATGTGCGTTTCTGTTATCTCCTCCTTCACTTCTTTCTGTTTTCCTCCTTTTTTTTCTCCTTAGCCCTGAGGAAACACTGATCTGTGTTTGTATTCTAAATGTACAAGCATATATAGATGTATTTAAATCACACCCCTTACACAAGGTCATTTAAAAACAATAATCTTTTCAACATTTGATTGTAACTTACCTGCTTATCCAAGAGCATTGACAAACAAAGACTACATACCAGCCAAATTTTTGTGTTGTTTTACATTTCTAGGAATTTGCACTCATTTGCTGATTTATTTCCCCATTTATTTTTCAGAGGAGTGTTTAATGCGCTGCTGGGGTTTATTAGGTTTTATTGTTTATGTTCCGCATGTAACAAAAGGTAACAAAGAAACTCACTTTATCACCTTTTATGCTCCAGAACAAACACCATGATGCACTGAGGCAGCTGTTGACATGTCACTGACACTTCTTGGCGGCTGTTTTAGGGGCTTCCTATTGATGAGCAGACATAACAATGATCTTTGACTCACCACTGAAGTTCCAGAGGGGCTGAAGCCCCCCAACTCCGTTACTGTCGTTACTCATGTTTCATGGCGAGGCTCCGACACACGCAGACTCACTCTCTCCGCTGCTTCCCACTTCTTCCGTCCAAGTTTCCCCGCGACGGTCGCACCTGCTGTAGTCCCGGGAATTTATCCTCGGAGTTCACTTTGACAAGCGATCCAGACGCTCTGTTTCTCCTGATAACAACCTGGAACAAACAAACAGCTACTTGAGCTTCTGTCCCGCTTCGTTAACTCTATGATGACAATAATACTAATAATAAACCCGCGCGCTCAGCTCCGCGGAGTCTCGCGCACCACACCGCGGCTCGCTCATTCGTCGCGCGCGAGCAGCGGCAGCAGCAAAGAGAGGGGAGAGCGCGCGAGCGGAGAGAGAGAGACGGTGTGATGTCATTTAGTCCAGCCAATCCTCGCTGATTTAATGTTGCGCTTATTTAACGTTTAGGTGTTGACAGCGTGACTTTACAGTGGAATCAACCTGTTTCCCTCCGAATGGTTCAGCTGAAGGAGCCAGTAGAGGCCAGAAAACATCCAGAGGTCACACGACTGAAGAACAGTGTTGGTGAAATGGGACACTTGCTGAATGTGCCTGTAAAACACTTCCAAAATGTAAATAATGTCCATCTGTCCCTCCATCTGTTTTCTGTATTGTTTTTCAAATGGTAATTTATTCTTTACCAACGTTTGATGGTGAACTTGCACTATTTTCAACTGCCAAAATATTATTTTACAGATATTTGTCATTGTTTGAAAGTAAAATGACATAACTCAAGAATTGAAAAATGGGGAACATTCTGATATTTTACAGCTTTTCCCAGATTTCTTAAAATAAAGATAATATCTAGTAAAATCAGAGAGGAAAAAAAGTATTAGTATTTAAGTAATTAGTAATTCATTCATGTAAATATTCTTAAATGTATGTTCTTATTTGCTTGTGTTCCTTTGTTTTTCTTATTTATATTGTGTATTTATAGTATATATACCTCGCTTATTTAATTCATAGTTGTTTGCTTGCTTTTCTTGTCACTTCGTTGCTGTGACATTGCAAATTTCCCCTTGTGGGACTAATAAAAGATATTCTATTATAGTATTAATTTACAAGCTGATTGCAAAAATAAACTTATGTACATAATGTCAACATTATAAATTAGTATTTTTACAAAAAGTAATTCATTCTCTTACAACGTTTGAGTGTAAAATGACAGTTTTATTGTATATAAATCACATAAAAACTTATGATTTATAATATCAGATATTGACTATTTTTAACACTGAACACTACAGTCTTTTATCGTTTCAGTGTAAGCTTTCTGGCACCCTTGCTACCAGATTTTCCCCTATTGCTTTTACAAGATTTTTTTATTTTTATTTTTTACAATGTACAAAATTTCACATTCAATCCAAGCACAGTAACTCACCCCAGTTTGACGACAAGACTCCGCCCATGGGGGGTAAATATGAAGTCCCCCTGTAACCCAGAAAGCTCTGGACCGGCGAAGTTTGTTGGAGACACAAAACTGTAAAAAATAAATAAATAACAACAGCAAATATCTGTTAAAATACAACATTTTAGCTGATTTAAGTAATTTTACTGTCACACATTGTAATAGAATGAATTACTATTTCATAATAAAAAATAAGTATAGCAAAAAGTACCTCATAATGTTTCAGTTTGTTTATTGTATTCCAACATTATTCAACTTTTTTTTAAGGTACTTTCATTGCATACACATGTAAATATTGTTTCATAAACATGACAAAGCAACATGCAATAGTGGCATATGGGGCTCAGTGCTCAGATCTGCAGTCCTAAAGCAGCATCACTGAGACATGGTTCAGGGTCACCCCAGAAGCCCGAACTATAGGCTTCATCAAAAAGTAAAGTTTTACGCTTAATCTTTAAAATGGAGAGGGCGTCCGCCTCCTGAACCCAAAGTAGGAGACAAGTGAAGGCCTCCAATCGTGCTTTTGGAAATTTAGAAACTACAAGAAAATGAGAAGCCTGACGTTGAAGTGCTCTGTTAGGATAATATGGTACAATAAGGCCTCTGATTTTACAGTGATTCAAAGATCTCACATTATCACTACTACTGAAAAGCGTGGAGACAATATACAATGTGTGTGTATGATTCAGGTGGAGCTCTGGATTTTAGCTCTTAAAGCCTGCAGGGATGAAACCTACTTTAAGGAATTGTGGCACAAACTGCTGAACAATGAATTACTGATCCAGATCCTGCAACCAAAAGAAAGTAATCCTAAGCACAATAAGAACACTTAACTGGACTTCTAGAATGTACTATGCATTGTAATCAACTATTTAAAAAAAGAAGCAACTTTAGGAAACTGTTTTTAACAACTGACTTACATTAAAATCAAATTATCCTGTGTATGCGTTCTCATGTATTTCCACATGGCATTAACGCCAGCATAAGCACATAACAGAGCTGAGTGTTTAATTATTCGGCCTGCTGCCATTTGCTGAAAAATAAATAAATAAATCGAGACACTGTGCCACCCCAACGTGAGAAATGGTCCCGGGCTGATCACCCCTATAAAAATAGTCTGGCTCGGCCACAGATAAATTGACAGTTAAATTTTAAGCAGGCCACCATTCACCTCGTCCTCGCAGTTCCCAGCCTCTGGTGTCACAGACAGTAAAACTAAAAGAAGTGTATGCAAATGACTGAGGTGGGGAGGAGGATTGTTTAATATATTCGTCTTCTGTCATGGTCAAACATCCACAGGGCAGATCTTATCTAATAGGATCTAATCCGATGTCAAAGGGCAGAAGCTACATTAAAGAGACTGTATGACAGGCCGCTTTAACATTTAATACCGAGCCTGGATATGCAATATAGATATCTCTGATTTGATTTTTCGAGCCAAAAAGAACATTTCAGATATTCACAGCGACAGTCTTCGCAGAACGTCACTTCCACCATTCATGTGTATGTTGTTTCCCATTAAAGAGATCTACAATTCAGCTTCAGATTGTTGATTTCTGCAGCTGACATCTGACTGATTGTAATCATAGACTGTATAAAAGATGGACGTAGCTACCATGACGTCACCCGTTGGTTTCTGCACTGAGCAAATGAAGCCAGGGTTTTGCTACTTCCTGGTTGACATCTTGGATTTTTGGAGCCAGTGATGCAAAAATCGTCGGAGGGGGGCGGAGCCATATGAGCAGCGATTGGTTAGACGGATTGAGAGGCGGGCCCTCTCTGCCCACCCACATTTACCGCCTTCTGCTCGCTTCATCTGTATGGTCACTGCCGACTGTCAATCAAGCCAGCCACGTCCCTTGCCCCGCCGAATTTTGATGATTTTTTAAAAATTCAGTATTGATTTATTTTCAGATTGGCCACCTGATCTCTGGATTTGACCATGAAAACTAATAAGAAAAAATCTGGAGCTGTAGGAATGCAGTACTTTGTGATCTGTGATTGCTTCTTTTCCAATTCAAGTCTATGGGAGCCAGGGCTTTTTGGAGCCAGCAGCAGGTTTTTGACACTTCCGGGTTGGCTTCATTTTTCAGGGCCGGTTGCTACGTCCATCTTTTATACAGTCTATGGTTGTAATTCAGTTTTAGCCATTTACAGTTTACTTCTGACCAGCCATAATTCTATTTTGAGATATATTTAACTCCCCTCCATTTAAGAGACCTTAAATCACATTTGAACCTGTCAGAATGATCCAGATGATCCAGACTTTGAACAAAGATTTAAACAGTTGTTGCCACAGATGTCCTGAGTCTATCATAATGTTTGATATCAGGGCTGATCTGGACACACTTTGTACCAAACCTCTTTTATTTACAGCCTGGAGCTGCGGCGCTGCTCTGCTGTAAAATAGTGCATTTTGCTCATATATGCAAGTGAAAGTTGTGTCTGAATGTAAATTCAGATGGCAAGGTTGGCAAAATAAATGGATTTGCTATCTGACACATTTGGTTATCTTTCTCACGTCTTCACATAGCAATGAGAGTGCAGGGGGGAAAAAGAAGAAAACTTTCAGGTCGAAGCTTCTCATTTCAGCAATAAACTCAGCAATAACTTTCACTGATAAAATGTCACCTGGAGGTCATGCAAGTGGTCACTAAATTAGGCCTTAACATTATTTCCATGTATAATACTATTACTCCTGAAGTCTAGCAAACAGTCAGACAAACCTCGCTGGTGGTTGGTGTTCCACAGGGGAGCTGTAAAAGCTGGCTTGTCTGCATAAAGACTGTATTAGCTGGTTGTTGTACTGTATGAAATACTGGTTATACGCGTTTCACATTACATTTCTATGGGGTTTATTTTACAGTCACGGTCAGAGGTGAGTACATGCCTGTGCAAGATCGCTTAAATGTCAAATGATTCAAAATTGTATCACCTTACAGTAACTTGCATTGCTTCTAAGTTTAACAGGATGTGCTCTTAAAATTAAAAACTAACAATTCAGATTTGTAAAATTAAAAATAAATCCCCACAGCAGGTACTTAATGCAAGTAAAGTCAGTACACCTTTAATTAAAAGGTTCATGGATGTTTTGTTCAAATCAGGCCACATATCTGGGTCATGGTTTCCACTTGTGTCTTCTGTAGAAACTCTTGTGTGATCCTGGCAGTGTGCTGTGGATCATTTTAATGCTGCAATATTCATTTTCTGCAGAATGGGAGCCATCTTGTCAGCCAGTGTTTTGGAAAATATCCAAAAACATTCATGGTGTCATCTACAAATATCATCTCACTGCCAGGACCATGAATTCACTGTGGTCATCCTGATCAGTTCACATCAAACAGGCTGGAACCCATCGGAGCCATTTTTAAAAAAATCTTGGTCTCATCTGACTGTTTACCAGATTGTGTTGTCTTAGTTTTGTACACTCTCCATTGTGGTTGACATTATGAACTCCAAGCACCAAGATTACCAGAATAAGTAAAGGCTAAAATTACACACAATCATTCATTTTTTTAGCTTCTGAAAAGACGTCTCAACCAGGGGGATTTGTATGCCAACATAATTTAGCTCATAA